ATCACCATTCTTACGAGTTTCTGTATATACATAATCAACTTCTATAAGTCGATCACCTTGTCGAATCACAGTTTCATCCACACGTACATCAATATCGTTATTCATTTGGAATTAAATTGTTAAATATAGGCTAGTATTTATTTGAGCAATAGAAATATCTGAATAAACAATAATTAAAATACGAATTAGTAATAATGTTCGAGAAATAAAAAAACCTATTCAGAAGTGGGTGGGTGTGAGTGAAGATGTACGAGTACATGCGGATGTGCCAAAGGTGGACACCCACATCTACCCTTCCCTACACTAAATTTGAGGGATTTGAGATGACTTTAGATATTATTATATTTGCGAGTTTAAATACCAATGAAGGTGCAAGTGCAGATTTGAAAAACCTTTGCTAGTTTTCTCTTTCCATATCCATTTTCTGAGCAAACAGAAACTAGATTTTTCTACTCTTACCTCAACATACACGTTCGCGCCTCCAAAAAATATCCACCATCAGTACTAAGGTATACATCTGCTTTTAGTATCAGGGTGGTGTGGATATATGTTCAAGGTTTGGCATTGACACCGATGGTCTGACTAAGCGTCTATAACTACGGTCTAACAGCACAACTTTTTGGGGATTTGTGAAAGACCATCATAGTTGGAAAAAATGGATGTATTATTTTTCTTTAGAAATGAATTTCTTTCTTACCTTTCAACAACTTGCAAAATGTATGACTAAAATTATACGTTGTACTTTTACGCGTTCCTCAGAAAGATAAGCGGCGAGCGTCTGGGTTTTCGTTTAGTCTCCCTTCAGACGCTTTTATCTGCACATTACTTTACTGTTTCAGACTGATAAGAAAAAACTAACAACTTTAGTTGGCACAAGGAGTTGTGACTATCACAAGCCTAGAAAAAAAACTGCGTTATTTTGTTCTTTAAAATATTCAAGTTAATATAAGAAAATTTATTGGGTGGGTGTGGGTGAAGGAGCGAGTTGGGATTTATGTGGCTTCTTTCTTTATGTTAAGAGCTAGTGTTATGATCCGATCATAATACTGTGCTGGATGTATTAGATTGTAAAATCTTGGGTGTGGGTGCGTGGATCTGAATGTAGGTATTCTATTTCTTTCACCCGCATTTACACCCACATTTTAAATAACTTTTAATTATTCTCTTTCTCGTAGAGAGGAGTCCAGTAAACATAAATTGTCTGATTGCTTGCCTGCTTGCCTGCTTGTATGTCCGCAGGGTCAAAAAAACATCGAAGATTGATTTTTCGAAAAAGACATTTCCAGAGGTATTTCGATGGAGGAACTTCAGATTTGAGATCTATTGGATGGCAATGGTTGAGAGGAGAGGTGAAGAGGGTGGGTGTGGGTGAAAGGTCAAAAAAACATTGAAAACCAATCTTTAGGAAAAGACATATTTAGAGATTTTTCGATGCGGGGACTTCGAATCTGATGTTATTTTTTCAAAATTCTTTAAAAAAAAGCATTTTTTAGACAAAGAACCAATTTTTTACGCGAAAAGTTTTTTTTCATAAAAATTGACAAAACGGTTTTTAAGGTTGGGGAATAAGAATCTCACGTTAGTTATTTCACATTGTTTTAAAAAGTTGGTTTGAGGATTTTGGAAGTCGTGGATCTTGAATCTAGTGTTAGTTTTTTGAAATTGTATAAGCAAAATGCTCAGTAGCATTGTAGAGCACGATTTCTACGAGAAAGAGCTGAGGGAGTTCCTAGACGAACGTTACTTTAATATTGAACTAATATGTTATACACTATTGTATTTATTGATGCTACTGCTATAGAATTTAAATCAACGGACGACGGTGGAAAAAATCAAATATCCATTGAGCGATGTTCAGTATAAATATATACATAACATATATAATTTGAATCTTTTGGTACTAGAACTTTACACACATACTGCTTTTGTTACTGGTTGAAGTGACAGATAGCACTTCACGATAACTATATACTTGTTGAAAATGTCATTAATCAAGATCCATATAGTCTTACTTTCCATTTGTAAAATATATTTGAAAGTGATGAATCGAGACGCAACTATTTCATTATATTTCTTTTCGTTTTTATTGCAGTGAAGAAAAATCAGTCTTATATTTCATTTTGGGAATATTGGAAAAATGCTACAGATTAGATCTGCCATAGAAACTTCACATAGTATGCTTGGCTGCAGAAAATATTGAAAAGTCAGAAAGATAAAAATCAGAGAAATGTCAGACCATTATTTATATTTCCGCCATATAATACAGTTTGGTAATGATATGAGATATAGAAGAAGTTATGAGACATTTCTTTTTCTTTAGTCTCTTAATCAACTGAGTAAGATACGAATAAGACCGAAAGAATAAATTTACAGTACCTTTTAAGATATTTTGTACGAATGTGATTCATACGAAAAACATTAACGATAATAATTTAGAACGTTAAAAGCATTTTTGGTTTGAGAAATCGACTTTTCATCAATCTTTCTTGCTAAAAATGAGTGCCGAGTTCGACAAAATTCAAAATATTTAGAAGATGTTAGTATTTAGTCGAAGTTACAGGTAATTCTTTTGTATCTACAGAATCAAGAAGCGGCACAATTAGTTGATACAAACGTTTTCGCATGATCGCTAAACGGCTTTGAAAAACTACAAAGTGAGCATGACAAAGAGGCGATGAAATCTATCGTCCTCTGCATAAGCTTGACCGTTATCAATAAGTGTTTCGTGTTAGATCAGAAATAACCAATTTTCTAGTAAGGACAACAGATTTAAAAACTAGAGTCGTTGTGTGACAAACATATCAGTTCAATTTGATAAAAACTAGTTTTCGTTTCTTAGAAAATTATGAAAAATAGTTTTACATACATCTACGCATTCATTTATCAATTTTTTAATTCTTATTAACTGAAAATACAAACTATACACTGCCGACATATATCACAAACAATTCCAGACGCTCGTACGCGATCTAACCTCTGCTACAGGTGAAATCTTTCTTCGTTAATTCTTCGTCTTTATTTAATTATAAATCTTCGTACAATGGAACGAATGTTCGAAAAGAGAATTTTCATCATTCCGATAAAGAAGGTTAGTGTTTCTCACAAAGACATACATCACCAGAATTAAAATGACGATCAGGAGCAGCATCGGGGTCAGGATTAGGATCATTATCATCACAAACTTCACGATCCTCAGTATTAAAATGACGATC